CTAGCGCTTCGTTTGGACTTCCCCTGGGCCGAAACCAAGGGAAAGACGGCGCGACAGTACGGTCCCTTGGAGACCTGATCTTCCTCGTTGGACTGGACCGACGCGACCACAATGGGCCAATTAGTGGGGTCCGGTCCAAACGACACTTGAAACGAACCAAGGGTTAGCGAGATATTCAAGTTTGACCGGTTGGGACCGGACCGACACGACCGCGTAACCCAGCCAGGAAAGGAACAGCCCTAAGTAGCCATATAGATGAACAGTCAGGCCCGAATAATTAAAATAGGGTCATGTGCTATTTTTAGCACGGGACTAACTGTTCGTTTCCCAAAGTCGGGCCTGCACCAGTCCCGTTCTAAAAATAACACAGCCCCACGCTATTTTTAGCGTGGGACTGACTGTTCATCTACCGGGAACTGGGCCTGCGCCAATCCCGTTCTAAAAATAACACAGCCCCATGCTATTTTTAGCGTGGGACTGACTGTTCATCTACCGGGGACTGGGCCTGCGCCAGTTCCGTTCTAAAAATAGGACTGACTGTTCATATCCCGAGGTCGGGACTGCTCCTATTTTTAGCACAGGCCTGGTCTAGAGTTTGACCACAGCCCCGACCATGGGACTGCAGCACTCAACCACGATCCCTTGGCCTCTCCATTATAAAAGAGAGGCCACGTCACCCAACGAGACAGATCAGCATGCGTGGCACACGTGGCACGGATCAGAATGTGAGAGAACCCTCACTTGCGGGAGCACTGCAGCTTTGGCGGAACGGCAAGGAGCGAAAGACACGAGCCAAAGAGCAGCGACGTGCCAGCAGGAGCATGAGGGGAGCGCAGAGAAGGAGGCAAGAGGGTCGAGCAGGAGGCAAGCAAAGGAAGGGGTAAGGAAAGGGAGGGACAAGATTGACCCTTCGCTTTCCCTTTCTCACCCCTTTTCTTCTCCCATTTTCTTCTCTCTCTCCTCTTCTTCCCTCCCCCTCTTTTTTCCAACCGCCTTCATGCGTTGTGTGCATGCTGTATCTGATCTGTGCGAACCATGATGGAGCTCTGCATTAGTTGATTGGTCATGAATTTTGTGCTCACACGCTGTATCTGAGGGTTGATACTAAATTGTGTGTCTCCACAAACCATGCGTGTGAGTCGTAATCGAACTGTGTGCCTGTGCACACCGTGCCTAAGGACAATTTTTTTTGACCGTGTGTACGCAAAACAAGTCGACTTTGAGACTGTCTGCGCAGTCACACTAAGAACCAAGTCGATTTTGAGACTGCCTGCGTAGTCACACTGAAAACCAAGTCGATTTTGAGACTGCATGCGCAGTCGCA